TTCGACAGATTCGCCGCTGGTTTCTGTTTCACCGTTGTCTATGCCGCCCTCCTAACGAAGACAAATCGGATATCGAGAATCTTCAACGCCAGCAAACACAGCGCCAAGAGACCATCTTTCATATCCCCGCGATCACAGCTGATCATCTGTTCCGGTCTGGTGTTCGTGCAGATCTTAATTAATGGAGTTTGGATGATAATCGACCCGGCGAAAGCGATGCATCACTATCCGACCAGGGACGACAATTTACTCGTTTGCAACAGTTACGTCGACGCTAGCTATATGATCGCGTTCGCATATCCAATCATGCTGATCGTCGTTTGCACCGTTTACGCGGTACTCACGAGAAAAATACCGGAAGCTTTCAATGAGAGCAAACATATTGGTAAGTATATCCATAATATCGCTTCTTCCTATTTGCTCGAACTGCATTTCCTCCAATGCTTTACGAATTGTCGTATTTAAACTGTAGTGTACAGTGTCTCTATAGTATTTTGAAAATTTTAACATCTTCCATTTAGGATTCACAATGTACACGACGTGTGTAATATGGTTAGCCTTCGTACCATTGTACTTCGGCACAGGAAGCAACGTTGCGCTGAGAATCACTTCGATGTCAGTGACTATTAGTCTCTCTGCGTCCGTGACTATAGCGTGCCTCTTTAGTCCGAAGGTAATTAAATGGAATGATACATTTATATGGAAGTAATTTTCTTGGAATTGTTATTTTCCCTCGCCTTTCAACAGTTATACATTATTTTGATCCGACCTGAGAGGAACGTCCGTCAGAGCATGATGCCAGCGAGATATAGCACGACTAAAAGCTCGGCGGTGACTGCGACAAATGCCTCGAGCATGATCGCGCCGATAACGCTGACGGCGGCCACGTGCGATCAGAATAAAGCTGTCAAGAAGCACATTATCAGCACCATCGATTGTTCGACCCAGAGCGAATGTAAGTGACTATCAGTTCGTGACTCTGTAAAATTTTCGCCCCTAGGATGACTAAATTTCTGCTCTATTAATACACGATCAAACTGAGAAAAGAACAGATTAATTAGGCATTAAAACCGAACAAGAACTTCTTCTTATTTTATTACTATTTATTCTTGTAATTATTTCATCAATATTGTTAGTATATAAAAGTATTTTTCCTTGTAAAAAGCCTGAATTTTATCGAAAATATAATTACTCACTGATACACTGAATAAAATGTAGGATCGATTAGCAACGTAGTTGCAGTTAAGAATGCATTTTTGTCCTCGGTTTCGAAATCACCAAAAAATAAGTCACGGGAAGTAGACCACGTAAAAACCCTTTTAAAAAGTACTCCAATTTTTCGAAAAAAGCTATGTATTTACAACTTCCAGACCGCCTTCATTTTAGCAAAATTCATTAACAGCGTTTAACTCGACTAACGAGCTCCGCAAAGAAAACACGTCCGCCCTCTTTCCGTTTTCTTTATCCTCTTTTTCATTCAACTTATTTTGCGTTCTTCTCTTTGTACGGTTAGCAACCGAAGTTTTTAATTAAGCGTTTTACAAAAAAAGACGAACAATTTCACGTTCCTGATATACACAAGACCGCCACAGGCAGAACATCTGCGTGAAACAACCTTCTCGGCCGAGCTGATGTAGCAAAATACAGTCGTTTCACATGATAATTAGGACGCAGAATGTTAAAAGACAAAAACCGATATTTTCTTTTCCAGATTTCGAACTGGAGGTGAAAGACCAAAAAAATGGCAAGCCACCGCCCGCGGTCGTTTCGCGATCGACGCAAACGTCTAACGACGACAAAGAACCGAATGGAACAATGGGTGGCAAAGATGCAAAAGAGAATCCTACAACGACAAAGGAGACGACAACAACGAAACAATTGAACAACAACGCGAGGATAGGAAATGGACCTGTGAACCAAGCGGACGTTTCTTTATAGCAGCAACCTGCCTCAGAGTCCGCCATTTTATCCGTGAGTTTGAAACCAATCTCGAAGAAGCCAGTGGTTGTTTAAACGAGAATTAATCCATCGATATTTTTTAAATATACGACTGATTGTACATCGAGGTGGCATACCATGAAAAACGAAACTCTTGTTTACAAATTTGTTGTTTAAAAGCTACGCTTCCCGTTACTCAAGTCCGACCGGAAGTGTGTGAATTGTGCTGTCCTGTGTCGCGTATATTGTAAGCTGTTAACTGAGTGTGATTGGTGGACTGCGGATGTTTATGGAAATTCAGAATTTGTATAAATAATTTATAGAAACAGGAATGCAATTGTGTTTTCCACAAATGATATCCGCAGTCTGACGGTAGGATATTATGTTAACTAAAATGAAATTACGACTCGAATCTTCGAACTTGTTATAATTGTAGCTTAGTAACATTTCATTCGAGTGATAACAATATTTACTTGAATACGTTTTTAATTGTTGAGAATAAAAGATTATTCCGTTTTTATCCTTATACGATAATCAGCGAGGGAAAAGGTTTTCTATCTTTCATTCCTTATTCGAAGACTTTCATCTTAATAATGATTTTGTTCGTCTGACTGTATTAAAATCTGTAGTTACGTTTAAGAATCCAATAAATACACGAGACCACAATACATAATATGCAAAAATCGCACAGTACGCCAATGTGAACGCATAGCCATCGACTTTAATTAATTATTAAGAACTGCTCTGGTTTCCTCTGTGATCGTAGCGTAATGCAACGGAATATAATTCACGTCGATTGCGTAAATCTCTATTGTACATACACGACCATTCTCACGATGCACATTGACGCGACTTCGCTGATAATATAGTCAACTGGGTTGATTGTAAATATATAGTCGAGATGGTTGTTCTGTAAAAAGAAAAACTTGAAAGTTAGCCAGATCGTTGCCAAATACGAATAACTACGCCGAAAAAAAAATAAGAATCAAAATGAGGCGATCTACTAATAACTGTACATTTTTGTAAAAAAAAAAACATTATGGGAAACGATAGTCCTGTTAAGAGAACTTCTGTACATAAATTATTCACCTGTAAATATTACGTGAAATTTAAAATTTAAGAAGCTTAATGAACGAAAGTTATAATATTCAATAGTACCTATAAACTCGCTTTGAAAATCTCGAGGTGTGACTACACGAGCGTAGACTAGCAGGAATATTTTTCCTTCTTTTCGAACCCTCTCTGCAAACTATAGGAATTGCTACACGTAGAATTTAAAAAGGCGCAACGTTACGCGTGTTCCAAATGTTTTCTGGTAAGATAATAATCGATCTAATTTTATCGCTTGATCTGGAGGTATACGATGAAATTGTTCCGTAGGGTCTGGTGTACATAAGTGTGCGAAGTACTGTAAATTCTTTCCGTAGAATCGTGACTATAAACGTAAGCGATACACATATCCCACTCTATCCTATGCATAGCCTACTGTATTTTATTTGTAGTAATAGTCACTAAAAGAATATGTATGTTCAATGTTATCGGCGAATGTCTTGTTAATTGATCGTTGTGTAGAATAATTATCTTTGTACAGGGTGATTCTAAATAATACTAAATAATACTTAAGAAAAAATTATGTTCACTCACAACTTAAATTAAACTGAATTAAAAAACAACAATTTTTAATTTTTCTTAAAATTATCACGGTGATCAGCATAATCACTTATGCGCTATATTGAGTATTCATACCTCCACTTTAGATTATAAATGAACACCTCAGAAGTCAGATTGATCTATGTAACAATGTAGATAACGACAACCAACGAAATGTTACACATCGTTTATTGAATTTCAACAAATTCATAACGAACAAACAATAATTATACAGTGGATGAATTAAAATGTACACTTTTCATTGTAACGTCCATAATAGTTCAAATTAAATATGTAGAAATTCTAAATCTGACATGTTAATTTAGAATCATCCTGTAGGTTCGAATATATAAAAAAGTTAAATTTTTTGAAGATTTATGGAAATCATCGAGGTCTCGCCAGACTTTGGGTACAAATGAGCCCAGTATCCACTGTTTGGCCCCTATAGATCTCACTCCTTGTTTAACGTTCAATAAACCTTTAAAAAGTATATTTAAACGGCCATTAATTGTTTTTCGAAATGATATTCGGCCAAAGGAAACAACGCAAATAGAAATATACTTAACTGTTTTCAAAGAATAGTTCTAAGGCAAGGTGTGTACATATTATTTAAGAGTACGATTGTACATAATAATCTACGTATACACAGCGAGGCATGAAACGAAAAATGTTAGTTCATATCGAACCAATTTGGTCGTAACGTTCGACAAGTGTTAAGACTATGAAACGATGGAGCAAGTAGCGCGACGATAAATTATTTAAAAAAGAAAAATGATGCAATGCAATGACAATGTCAAGAACTCTTAAACACGATCAAACTGTTACGGTCTAATCATATTTTAAATACGTACGAGCGCTAAGGTAGGAACACAAGTTTAAGTGGTATTACGATGTATCCGTTAAAAGGGACAACAAAGAAAGGAAAAAAAAAGTAAAAATAAAATCAATTGTAAAAGTATTTCAACCCATACTATTATTGTTTCTCACTACTCCTACGTTTAAGATACATATTTAAATTATACGTCTATCTGCGCGCCACCATTTTGAACATCTTTCTAAAATATAGCTGAGAGTGAAAGTTACAATCAAATTGTAAATATTCTTTGAAAGGGAATATTATTCTTTGAAAAGAGAAACTTATGGCCATCAGTAGAGATTTCGTTAATGTGTACGTCCTTTAACATTCTATGTATTAATAACGTCTTAAGTCTTAATCTGCAAAAAGATCACTCTAGTTTCTCGATACTTATACCGAACAGAGAAAAAGGAGACACCCTATTACTGATCATGTTTCATTTCATCTTACTCACGCACAGTCAGGTGCGCCCTATTACAATAAGTGTAAGATAAGTTTCAAGATGTGTTTTATTTCTTAAAAAGTACAAAAAAATTACAGAGAAAACGATGCGCCGCTCGTCAATACCAGAAACGTGAAAGAGACAGAACGATCCGACCGAGTTGTTGATACGCCGTAAGATGAGTTTCTCATTTCTGATCATCGTTCAGTTCGTGGTGCTTTACCGGGTTTGTGGATCCTGAAAATCCCGATTAGGCAATATCATTCATGATTTGTATCTGAACACACAGTCTTAGGAACAGAGGAAACACGTGATCATTCAACACTACTATCAATCGTAGATCTCTCGGTCGCAACTGGTGATTCCAAATAACCTACATAATCCATAATTAAGAATCGCCAGACTGCGGATTTTATGCATTCGTATCAGTTTGCAAAATACACGTTCTTTTAACATGTAACACAGTGAAATTAATTAACGGAAAAAAATTAAATTTCTAACTTTATACTTTTATAAATTGCTCTGGAAAGATGTGTTGCATAACTTGATATTTATCCGCAATCTGTTCCGTGGAATATTATTTTTCGCTAGAAATGATAACGATAACGACAACGACGAATTTTAACGAATCGAATGATATTATTTTATTATGGTACTTGGTGCTAACCGAAGTGACTAGAAGCCAATAAATAAATAAATGACGACCCCGGCTCACAGACGAAAGAAGGAGAGGCGTTCAAGGGTGCGGAAAAATATAAAAAGCCTCGCTAAAATAAATTATCCTTTTATTCCATTAGCAATTACAACGCTTTGAAATTCAACTTGACATTCTTCTTCGCTAAGCAACGACGTCGTTCGTATACCGTTACGCTCTCCTAAACATACAGCTTTCCCTCTGTGTTTTTTTTTCCTTTTTTCTTGTTTTAATTAACAACGATCGATCCGACTAGTTTACATTTTACACTCTCGCTGTATCCTTTCTCACTCTATCATGGTTATATATCGTTTTTTTTTGTTTAGAAAAAATAAAGATGTTTGAAGAAACAACGTTAGAACGCAAACAGTTGAGAAAAGATCAATACTGCCTAGTAAGCCAAATGGTTCATGACAGCCTGCATACATTCAGTCATCGGTGAATAATAATAAAAATACACATAGACACGAATACATTGGCAAACGATGCACTTTATTGCAACCTCGGACCTGTCTCATAATCGTCGAGCCCTGCTCATACACCCTCACAACACAAATATAAAATCTTTGGTCTAACTATAGACTGTCGTACGGTGTTGCATTACAAAATTCGGAAGCTTATTTATAAAAGTGGTCTGTTTCCTTTCCTGTCCTACTCATCTGCGTAAAAAGAACGTTTCTAGTCTTTGAGTTCTCGTTGTGAGGACGATCACGGGTCGATCCCACATTTATAACTTGTTACGAACCGCTGACAATGAATTTCAATAAATAATCAACATCGATGTTCACTGGTTAATTATGAACGTTTACAACAATTTACTTAGTAACTTCTCCATTTTCCACAAACTCAGTTTAATTTTCGAGTGCACTGTGACTTAAGGAATCTAATACTTTATGCTTGTGCACTGCTTAACAATTAACGAATGGTAACTCTTTTAACATAAAGTGTCGAAACAAAAACACATTTTATCTTACAAGACGAAACTGTAAAATGTTCGATTGAACGGTACCGACTCGAAACCGAACACCAAATATAATACAAAAATGCAGTCTGCAGACTTTGTTACTTGTAGACGAACCTAATCTACTCAATTATTCTCATGCACTAGTTACCGAAGCGCAATCACGGTTAATTGGTATTTGACACAATTTTTATTCCGAGCAAATATTTGGATAAATATTCGCTCGAAATAAAAGTTTCTAGACCATTCTACCTAACACCTTTGTCATTTTTCTGAACTCCAACATACAACACAAACTACGGCGTTTAGTAGATATTATAAACTTAATCTAACAAAAACACTTAAACAAAGACAACAGCGATTTATAATTGATTCATTTGTTTCGGAATAAAAGTATTGAATCCCTTCAATCATACTGCCTAACAAATTTGTCTTTGTTCGCAATATTGTTCCTCAATTGTGTTAGCCATTATTGGTTAAAGTTTACATTAATTTCGAATTGTAGGAATTTTAAATGTCGGTAAACGCGAATTACGTGAGACATGCTACCAATCATGCCATCAATGGGATACATTTTTCAGGATAGGAAGATAACTGAACTTATGTCTTCCAGTACTTACCACTGCCTTTCATACATTTGATCTTTAACTGCTTCTTTTTTAGATCTGGCGGAACTGATAAAGCTTCTCTATTCGATTCACTTCCTCCTGTCCCTGGACTACCTCCAGCCATATCAGCATCCTGTACTCCACCACTACCGGTTTGTGCAGCAAGTAACTTCTTTATATTGGCAATCTAACAAGAATTTACAAACCTCAAGATACAATTCTACTGCACTAGTGTATTTTTGTCCATAAAATGCTTACATCTCGCTGTATTCTTTCCTTATGATTGGTGGCTTTCTGTTTTTCAAGATTGGCTCGGGTAACTTGTTCTTCGATACACACTAGCACTGTATCACAAGCTTGACCCCATGAAGCTAATGTTTCTGCTACTACTCCGGTATCACCTGGTCTAACATCTCGTCCTAAACCAGCATAATCTACTTCTAACTGCGAATTCTTTTGATCTAATTTGCCGTGTATGATGTCTGCATAGACAGCTTCAATTATTAAATCCTCTAAATCTCTAACATTCTTTATATCTAGCTCCTCCAGGAGTACAGAATATGGTATACATCTGGACTTTGTGGCAAGTGTTACAATTGTTAAATGTTGGAGCTTCTTCTTCTGTATGGGAGTCAACTCTAAAACCTTATCTTTATTCTCCAAGTATTCTTTGTAGGTACCATAAGCAAATAAGTTCAACGTGTTCCAATATTGAACATAAGGTCCATTCTCTAACTCTTTGATATTGGGCATATCTAATAATTCCCCAAAGACATTAACACCTGGTGTTTCTACAGCTTGCTTTATCAGTTCCATAGCAGCTGCCCCTTTAGCAGTTTTTGCAAGCAATACGAACTGTTCTAAGGGGTTGTTGGCTGACTTTTCAGTGGTGGTTCCACCAGTCATTTTGATCCTATTGAATAAGAACAAACTGATAAACAAATCTATACTAACCTATAGTCTAAAGAATAATCAAACAAAGTCTACATTAAAAATAAGAAATAATGCTTAGAAATGATTCACTAGCATATAAAAGTAATATACGAGGAGAGATCCCGGAATGTAATACTATCTTTCCTAACGTCTTACCATCAATGCTCTCCCTTGAAATCTGATATTTTAAAGGACAAACAATGACCAAAATCTGATATTAAATATTTCAAAAACCAACTATCTGTCATATGAATTTCATATTTCAATCTACCATGTAGTACTCATCGAAATAACAACATCACACTAGGGAGATCTCGATTTGCTAGACACTAAGAGAGGTTAGAGTGGAGCCTATTTACACATCACACGTTATTCACCCAAATACATTACAAACAACAGAGTGACATTAATGTTCAAAAAAATACAATCTGTTATGTAAATTAATTATTATATAACTGCAACTTACTCCGTTCGATGTTTACAAAATACGAAATACCCTTTCCCACTGAATATGTCTTTAGGTGTGTGTAAGTCCAATAAATATATACAATGGTATAAGTTCTACCACGAAAAAGAAACGAAACCTTACTTAATGGAACGTTCTTCTAGCCGCCTAGGAACCGAATAATGAATGACGTGAAAGCATCATGCGAAGCATCGTACGAAAGAAAATACTCGAAGGAAGATTGCGTTTTCCCTGAATCAATAAATTCCTTCTGAACTGTTCAGCTAGCCCAACGTGAGCCGTACGTTGCCGACAGTGGGATGCATCGCGTCCAGCTCGGAACAACTTCAATGGGTTGTGAAGAAGAGTAGGGGAACGTGTGTTGCTCGTTCGCGAATGCGTACAGTTCGTGTCAGTGGTCTTTCCAAATGATCGTGCCGTTTGATGAGAAACAGTGAACGGAAATATTTCAAGATTGCAGGTCGTCGGGCGAGACTGCGCTTGAAAATTCCGCGGAACGAATAGTACAAAATGAAGCCTTTAATCGAGTTCGAGGAATGTTTGCGAGACACGCCAAAGTTTCGGTGAGATTTCGTTAAACCTATCCGCTCTCTCTAAACGCCTGCTGGCTTCTACCATTCGTTTTATTCCGTCGCGGTATCCGCACACTGTTTACTATGACTAAGCCACCGAACGCGCTTCGCTCGATCATGAATCGAGGAGGACTATTCAGAGAAATTCTTTTAATGTCTACACCCTTTTCCCCCTATAGATCATGCATCGAGGATGTGGAGGCAAATGTTGATCTACTGGAACAAAAGTTAGACAAGGTACCACCACAAACAGATTGCATTGTAGTTATTATCATATTTGTCATTGTTCTACGGTAGATTATAAATGGTATATGTAACACTTTCCATTGTACTATATAGAGCTACCACGGCGACGTAGATCACCATTAAACGCAAATCTTATTTGTTTTAATAGAAAGTGCATGAATGAATAAGATTTTATTTCTAAACGTTTATATATCTTTGTTGGTAAAACAATACGAAATTTTCAGAAGCAATACAACAAACATCTCTTAGAATTGTTAGTTATTTGTGTTATGAAATTCTTGGAGTGTCTAAGAGTAATACTGACACCCATGATTTTTAAAGATCTCTTGTAATTTATTGATTAAAATTGTGGATTTTATAACGAACTATTTGATAAAGACCAATGAAGTTTTTAGTTTATTTAGAACCTGATAGAATATTAGAGAGAACACACAAATTTTTTTTATTCCAGTTTCTGTAAATTGATCTATAAAAATCTATATTTGCAGGAGTATCTGTAATCTCTTAATAATAATTCTATTTATTCATTTTTATATATCAGTCTCTTTTTTGTAGGTATTGAAAAATTGTAGCCAAATGATTGACACCGGGAAACTTTTTATAGGACAACAAAGGTATGTTAAACAGATTTACAGACTATATACATAAGTTAAAGAATGATGTCAACAGTTGATATGATAATAGAAGGAAAAGCAAAGTTCAATCAACGAATGAAAATGTTTAATGGGTTCAATGAACCAAGTTATTAAAGAAATGTTAATTGTTGCAAATGATTATGCTCCATATTAAAGGAGGAGGGAGATTCCAAGCAATAAAGGAATCAGGAAACATGTGTGAATTATAGCTCTAGCTGTTGGGAGTGATTCATACTTGTGCTGCTCAGTGTCACACAATGAAGATGAATGTTACTTGAAATTCTCATTAACAAGAAAATATTCATTCTGTTTTCCATATGTAGTGATATAATTATGAATAAAGAATATGTTTATACTCTCACAATATGTAATAATACGAATATAAAGAATTTTGATGTATATAATATCAGTATGTAATATGTTATAAATTTTTAAACATAATGAAATTGTTTTATACGAAAATTAAACAAGTATTTTTTTTCACAGCCAATTTGCTAATAGTCTTTGGGAATTATCTCTATACTTTAATGATGATTCAGAGATAATGGCCTACCTAAATAAATTAATTCATGCTTTACAAGAAATGAACAAGTTTCATACTATTTTAATTGATCAGGCATCTAGAACTGTAATTAAGGATCTGAATTCGTTCATAAAGAGGTAAGATCGATTATTAAATGCCTCGAGCACAGAATATTGCACATAATTATTCTACTGTTATTAAGTAATATTTGTAATATTTTAACAGTGACATTAAAAGAGTAAAAGAATCTCGTCATTACTTCGAAAAAATATCTGCGGACTTAGATTTAGCTTTAAATAAAAATTCCCAAGTTCCAAAGACCAGACCTGCAGAATACGAGGAGACTTCCAATATTTTGTCCGCCACACGGTCATGTTTTCGACACACGGCTCTGGACTATATTCATTCGTTAACGATGATACAGGCACGCAAGCGGCACGAGATACTGAGCACACTACTTAATTACATGCACGCCTGTATTACATACTACCATCAAGGCAGCGATTTGGCGCAAGACCTGGATCCATTTCTAAAAGATCTTGGAGAGAACCTAGTTACAATGAGGGTTGATTCCGTGAAGCTTGAAAAGGAAATGGAAAATCGGCATATTTATGTTACGAATAGAGACTTACTACCCTCTCCAACACCTGGTAATCCCAGAATGGAAGGCTATCTTTTTAAGCGGACTAGCAATGCATTCAAAACATGGAACAGAAGGTGGTTCTGTTTAAAAGATCAACAACTGGTTTACAGAAAACGAACGGGCGATAATGATTATACGGTCATGGAAGAGGATCTTCGTCTTTGTACTGTAAAACCAGTGGTAGACTGTGATAGAAGAAACTGTTTCGAAGTATTAAGTCCTACAAAGTGAGTAATTAATCTGGAACATTCGTTCGTATTCCATTATTTAGGAATAACAACAATAATTGGTTCACAGAAGTCACATTTTGCAAGCTGACAGTGAAGAAGCATACTTAGCATGGGTAACTGCCATGCAGCAAGCTATTGGTGCTGCTATTCAAAGAGGCATGCGTACTCTTGTTAGTGTTAGAGAATTGCAATTTCAGAATATTAGAGGATCAGGTAGACAGTCAAAACCTAAATCAAGGTAACAGAAAATTTTTTTTCTCCGTTACAATCAACAAGGAATAGAACAGACTTTTCACAATAACTAGTCTTTACCATAGGGTCTGGGAACAACTCTTAAAAATTTCTGGAAATGATACCTGCTGTGATTGTGGTGGTGCTAATCCAAGGTGGGCCAGTATCAACCTTGGAATCACGCTCTGCATAGGTGAGACATTTTCTTTTTTTTAATAATTTTACAAACCAATGGTATTTAAATGTTTTTCGTCTCTGTTTCAGAGTGTTCTGGGGTTCACAGAAGTTTAGGTGTTCATTATAGCAAAGTACGTTCCCTCACGTTGGATGACTGGGAGCCTGAGATATTGAAAGTAATGGCAGAACTAGGGAATACCGTAGTAAATAACGTCTATGAGGCACTGCCCATTCCCTCTGATATTGTTAGAGCAACACCAAAATGCCATGGGTATGCAAGTAGTACTTACATACACCGATAATAAAATTACGATTTCAATTTAGTGAGGCAATCGTTCGAAACAAGTGATAATCCAGACCTATTTCTTCTTTAATCAACAGTAATATACGCGAGGCTTGGATAAGAGCGAAGTACGTAGACCGTAAGTTTGTGAAGCCATTGAGTAACATGATATCGTCCGGACAACACGCGAGTCACGACAAAATACACTTCCGCAAGTGGAGCGTTCGCAAGCTGCGTCGCAGGCCGCGGAGTTGCGACAAAATCGACAGTGCGAATCGTAACAAAACAGAAACGTTATCTTCGGTGAAAGAAGGCCCAAACTCAACGAGTTCAGATGACAGCAAGCACACGTCGATCGAAAGCCTGAGTTCCGTGGACAAGGCGAAGAAAACGGAAAGAAGTTCCTTAAGCTCCAACGACAGCGCGAATCTAGATCTCAAGAATGATTCCACGTTGTACGGAAAGATATTAGCGCGACCTCTTAGCGAGATAAGCGAGACTAAAGGCGACGATAGCAACGTTGTAAACGAACGTAAGCTCGATGCTCCAGAAGCAGATGACAATACAATATCCAACTCTGAGAATAGTTTATCACTGAAAAGCGAAGAAGTGTCCTTAACCGCGGAGATTTCCGACGTCAAAGATGTCTTAGAGAATAAGGATATCGGGACCGAGAAGCAGTGTACAAAAAGAATGGACTCCGACGTGCTGATGTTCGGTTGCGATTTACCAAAGCCAACGATCGATAATAGCTTAGAGTTAAGTTCGGATCAGGACTCGACTGCCGGCGAGGACGAAGAGTTCACGGACGAGGAGGATATCGAGAATCTACATCCGGAGATGCTGCTTTACAAAGCCGCGGCTGCGCACAATCTTCCTGTGATGTGTGCAGCTTTGGCAGCCGGGGCTGACAAGTGCTGGTCAAATGTTAACGACAGAGGACGCAACGCTTTGCATCAAGCGATTATAAGTGTACGTATCAATACCATTGGGCTGTTTCTCTTTAATAACGATTGCATTGAAATTTAGGGATCCGTGATGTCCTGTGAGTATCTCATTCTAAATGGGGCACGAATCAATTGCCAGGACAGTGACGGAAAGACACCGTTGTATTTGGCCACGGAATTAGGTATGAAACCGTCATAAGAGATCGTACAGTTATTTAAAATGGTGACATTTGATCGACTTATGATAAAGGGATGTTATTTCTATACAGACACCAGACGTTTATACAAATTCGTACTGTTAAAAAGTAATTTACAGTAAAATTTATGAAACTAAAGTTCATAAATAAATGGAATAGTTCTAGTTATTACTTGTAATAGTATCATAAAGAGCAAGTAATATCTGTTTCTTTCATGTTGGAATTTTAGGCCATACAGCGCAAGTGTGCTTGCTACTAAAGCATCGTGCAGACCAGCACATTCAGGACGAAAGTGGTGTAAAACCTCTGTCAATAGCTGTGAAAGAAGCCAACGCAGATATTGTTACTTTGTAAGTACATATATAAGTACTTCCTACTAGAGATCAGTTTCCATTAATCCATGGAATTCTATAATTTTTTCACGTTAATCCGTTCGCTACAGTAAATCGACTTATTTCTTTCATTACAGATTACGTCTCGGTCTTCTAAACGAGGAAATGAAGGATTCAGAAATCGGGATCAGCGGTGACGAAACATTCAACGACGTTGTCCGGGACTTCAGCCAATTAGCTTGCTCCCACCCAGAACGGCTACAACGAAGAAATGAAAGTAACAGCGTGTCACAACCGCCTGAATGAGGTTTAAGGACGCGCAAGTCTTATTTGCAGAATGTAAAAAGCTTGCTGCAACGCAAAGAGAAGAAGGAGAAGAACACATCGAAAATGTCGTCTTTCAGTTCCTTGCAGGGTAATAAAAATGATTAATGGAGTTTATTTAATTATGTGAAGAACGGACTTGACGTTCTGTGTGGTATAGTAATGACGAGAGAGAAAGGAAGCCAAGGTTTGTTAAAAAAGAAATTCCCTTTGTACCGTTTCATCTCTGGGCGACAGAAGAATAATTTAATATCTTGTTGGTTTCCTTTCTTTTCTTCGTATTTAAAGGAACCAAGGAACTTACAGATTTTTTGTCGAAAAGAAATGAAATAAGTAAATTATATTTTGCTTACTCATCACGTTACGCTATCCAGTGATAAACTATTAAAGGATAAAAGGCTTCTTCCTTCACGTTTTCCGCTTGAATTTACAGGAAACAAAGAAAGATTAGATTTTATATTTCAAGGAAGTGTATTTCTTCCGTCACACGCAACATGAACAGAATTTTCAAACTGGAGAAAATTTTGCAGACATACATGAAATAATGTAAATTATTATGAGTAGATATTTGTATATCGTTCATGTGATACGAGAAACGTGACAAAGTAGCGTTAACTCTGTTAATTATACGAGAGGTTTTACTATTTAACCGACACGTCTTCAACACGATAGTATGGTCTAGCGAGGGGTGTCTTTGGAAAAACGATTTTATACGTATATCTGTTTTTATATACTTAAATATTACCAGTAGTGTGTATACAACTGGCACTAAAACTGTTTGTTTATCTTTTTCTCTCTTTATTAGGTTCGTGCACGTGAAATGTTGCTTTAATGCAAACTACCTTCTGCAATGTAATATCTATCCACAGTTTAGTAATGACGCAAAAAAAGGTAAAAAGGTATATTGAAACAATTGTAACTGCTTATAAGAAATTTGTTTTACGACTACGTGTCGTTATAGCTAGGTTGTAAAAAATGACAACATTGCACGTGCATACAGCCCAATAATTGTAGCGACCCGATACTGTGTAGCTAGTATCGATTCAATTGAAATATGACATTACCGATATACATAGAGTTTATGTAGTTAGTCTAGAAGTTACATTTATAAATAGCTGTAAACTACATCCATTGAATTACCAAAATAGATTAAAGACGATCCCGTATATAGTTACTGATTAATATAGCATTTGTTGCCAAAAATATGAAATGTTTGTACATACAAACTTGTAGATCTGATTACTATTCGATGTTGTATACTTGAGCAGATACTTTATTTCCGTGGATTGTTTAGAGTTAATGCGAGCGCATAATTTAATGGAGCGTAGAAGAATCTTTACACATACAATTTTTTAATGGATTAAAGTTTTTGGTCTGTTACGTCGATGTATAGAGGTTTGCGAGTTATTAAATTTTTGATAATAAATATTGAGAATAGTTGAGATAGCAGCTGATTAATAATTGCAAGAAAAGTAATTATTATAAATGTAAGAGAAGGTCGCAAAAAATAAGAGAATTCTCTAGAACAAATTATATGTAAGAAAAGTAGAATTCAAACAAAATTAAATTATATATAAGTTCTAAACTTTCTGCTGACTAACACTGTTTAATTTTTGCTTCAAGACTAATAACTTGCGCACCTCTACCGTTTTTCATGACTTGTACAACGAATAAGTTACGTATCATTTACTTCTACCTTAATATTATATATTAATTAAACAGTATTTGTTGAAAAATCATAATATAATGCATGATTTTTAGTGCATAGTGAAAGAAAAAGATTAAAACTGAAAAAAATGATAGTTAAGTAGAGGCTTTATTAGTTGCGAATCGATGTACAAAACCGGATCATTGGCTCTTCTACGAATATTTGATATATTTTTTGAATCTGATATGTTACCGTAGACTTTATTTCGAATCTGGTATTCGATTTTTATAAAAAAAAAATTGATTTTTTTAAGAAGAATACAATTTAATCGTATGATAAACACCTGATACTCATTGTTGCACAAATAGCAACAAAACGTTTTCCATTTTCATATACATATATTACTTAATGTTAGTATACTATTTTCATTTGTGCTTGTACAATTTGTAATTCACGATCATGTTAGAAAGATCATGGTGTTTGATAATTTCGTGTTCCCTGGACTGTGTTACAAAGAGTTTTTCCCTTGTTAATAGATTCGTTTCAATGGAGAATTGATACCTTCTATTTGTACTTGAATTTTTGTACTTATTTTTGTATATGTTTTATACGCAAAACGAACTGAAGGGAAACAGAAAGATACAAGATGATCAATTAATTCAGACAAAAAGTGTCTTCCACAATTGAAAATATTCTTCACACTGTTGTGAAACTTCTGTCGAATAATTTTTCAAATAAGCAATATTTTTTACAGTGTAATGTAATTGATTTTTAAACATAATCATCGGTACTGCCTAATTGTGAATTATTGTTATGGTATTCCACAAACACGTCTATACAAAAGTTGAACAAATGCTATTGTTTCGCCGTTACATTACAATAAAAATGTGAACGAATCAATGTATAATACTGTATACAGACTTCGTAAAACAATGGTTACGCAAGCAATGTGTGTTTCATTAATTTTTTTCCTTCCTAAAACTATACTCCTGTTTTATTTGATAATTACAATGTTCTCCATTGTTTAAAAAGAATTACCCAATTTTTATTAATTAAAAATTATAGGTGCAAATGAATAAATAAAGTATGAAATTCTGTTTATTTTTCTACATTTAAACGTTCGTATCGTTTGGGAACTATGGAAGCAGAAAGGCTACGATTTAAAATTCCTCGATCCTTCGAGCAAAAATGGAGGCATCGATTCGGTCGATCGACAAGAAACTTGCGCAACCAATTACTCGTTGCGAGAACGATGGAAATACGGCGCAATTCATGAACCCTGTAGATGGATAAATTATCTGGTGGAATGCATACGCACAATTTACGCGTTACTCTTGTTCGATTGCGTAAATTAATCCAAACGGGTCAATACCCTATCGCTGCAGTTATCAGTTACATACATACATGCATGCACGGAAACTATCCGACCAATTTATCACCGATTTTTCTATCTTTCTACGACAGTGTTAATCGTTTTCTTAATAGCATTTATTTACGCGCACGCAGAGCTACGAGATACGTGAATGACGCGAGAAATCATTTTTGAATATCGAAACATCTATAAACATGCCGCTCGAATGAATAATTTTACGGTCTTCACTTAATACATTCACACTTTTCTCATTTTTAAATCGAGCATAAATTCCAAATTTACATACCATGGGTATCGTGTTTAGAGAATTATAATGGAACTTGTACAATGCTGCACTTTCAGCATTATATTTTAATACAATGGAACATTCAAATTGGTGTTTGGTCATCGTATTTGTATGCGTATGTACCTGTGTAATGAAAGAATATATTTTCATTAAAGTGTTTATTTTTTTTATTTCCAATAGAATTCACTAGATCATTGTGTATATAAATGTTTCCCAAGCAAAACAACTATAATCAGTGGTTTGGAAATTACTGTATTAACATTACTTTTTTTCTATAAGTTCCTACTAAACACCATTAACATATTATAGTTACATCGGTTATTATTTATTTCTGCATTGAAAGAAACACAAAATAAAAATTGCAACTAAACCGATAGTGTTAATTTATGTATTGATGATCGTATCTAAATTAGCATGTTCACACTTTATAAATTATCTTGTACAATGCAACCGTATCCTCACCCATTCTCCCAGAACGTGATAGTTTTTTCCAAGCGAATCGGCGAACTTCCGTTTACTATCGAAAAGAAAAGCTGCGGTCAGCCATCGCGGTTCCATCATTGGCTTCTACCCGCGTAAAAGCTCGCAATATGTCGATCGACGATCGTTGATTGGCTCAATTCAGATAGCGATGATAAGAAAACCCACAGTTTCATTGGCCGGACCCACCGTTCGCGTCCCCTAATAAAAACCGTATTGTTTATCAGGGCGAGCGTCGATCTTTCGCATCGGGACGCCCGTTGCACGCACTAATCTTCCCATATACTCATTGATCTATCGCGTGGAAAGATTCTTCTTATTCTTCGATCGGCTGGTGTTTACTATTCGAAGTGTTCTTCGATCAACGCAGTTTGTTGTTTATCAAGCTTCGCAACAACACAATAATAAAATTCCTTTCGTTCTTTGAACTGTTTTCCAGCGTATTTTCATAGATTGTTGATCTCTTTCGCTTTGTAAATATTATGTCATCCTGATACGATAGATCAACGGAAATTCTTAGATTTACGTTGGTTCGATTCTTCGAAGTAGGACAACGCATTTTGTTATTTGCTAAGCTTGTAATGAAGAATAATAGTAAAATTCTTGTTGTCCTTTGACCGATACGAATTTACTTCCATCAAATGTTGATTTCTAATGCTTCATGAAAGATTATTCCATCACGAGAAATAATCTATAAGTGACTACAAAATTAATTAATACGATACGTAGCTCTTATTATCTCATTAGATGATGACATGACAATCTAATGGAACTTCATCATTTCTGTCGTAATTTGATCTAATTCAACGTTTAAGTTAACAAATTTTTATTCTGTGGACATCGATGACAAATTAAGCGGTCGTTCAAACCATTAATTACCAAAAAAATTCACGGTCCGATTCTGGTTCAAAGAGGCTTGTTTATAATATACGATCCTATCTATGCGCAAGCACGGCGGCAGGCAGTCTACGACGCCTAGAAGAGCTCCTATTTCGAACGATCGCTTGCCTCGTGGTTGCATATGTCATTCCGCGCGCGCAGCTGCGCTAATTTTACTGACAGACACGAACAAGCGGCGAGTTGCTCGTTAATTATTCGATTACTGCCCTCCCGTGATTCGTGGTTCTGGAGGGTGGTGCCAAAAATATGTTTACGAGTTCATCTTCCGGCTCCACGACGGAAACCAGAGAGAGAGAATAGTGACGTTTGCTTTAACTATCGCGCTAGAGGAAGTAGCTTTTTTGAAAAGTTAATTTTCAGTTTGACAAATTACTAACGGTTACAAACAGAAAATTATAACCACCTTTCAAAATGTATCTACATTTTTCACAAAGTAGTCTATTCGCGACAAATAAGAATAACAATGATCATGAATAGGATCTATTAATATAAAAAAATTTAATACGGATATTACAGAAGTAAATTGAATCTACCTCCATCCAAATCCAAACGTTAAAGAGGAGAGGAGCAGAACGCAAAGTGGTTTACTGTTGTCGCAACGTAAT